ACAGCACATTTTATTGATTTCATTTCCCCCGTAGCCCCTGGAGCAGGGCCTGGCATGAAGTAGTCAACGGAGTAGGTACCGTGGTCCTGTTTGTTGAATGAAGAAGTAAACAAGAAGAATATGATCCTTTTCTATCCTAGACTTGTTAGCTCCAGTCAATTTCATCTCAGCCCTGTTGGTTTAGTGTTTGGGCTCTGGGCTCCGATTTTGGGTTCAAATACTGGCCTTGCCTCTGCCTCTTATTAACTGTGTGATCTTGATTAAACAAATTATTTAATGTCTCTGAATCTGTTTCCCTATCTTTAAAATAGGGATAGGGGCTGGCCTCGTGGAGCAGCGGTTAAGTTTGCATATTCCACTTCAGCGGTTCAGATCCCAGGTGTGGACATGGCACAGCTTGGCAAGCCATGCTGTGGCAGGTGTCCCACACCTGTAAAGGAAGATGGGCATGGATGTTAGCTCAGGGCCAGTCTTCTTTAGCAAAAAGAGGAGGATTGGCAGCAGATGTTAGCTCAGGGCTAATCTTCCTCAAAGGAAAAACAAAATTTTTAAATAGGGATAAAAATAATGGTTTTTGCCACATAAGGTTGTCATGAGAATTAAACGATACACCATAGCACAATGTGTGGCACGCAGTAAATGTTCCAGAAGTCGTGGCAGTTATTGCCCTCCGCATCTTTTCAGCTATGAATCTTCCTATCACCTTGGATCTGTACGTTGTCAATCTTCCGAGGGCTTGTTTCCATGCACAAATCCCTCACTATCTCTATTATCCTTAGAGCAGCCCCGGGAGGGAGGGAGGGTACATATCACAAGCTCCATCGTACAGAGAACACTAAGCTCCTGGGAGAGCCTTTTCCAAGACCACACACACTGAGTGGCCAAGCTGGGATCAGAATCCAGATGTCCTCCCTCCAGTCCCTGTGCTCTTTGTTTCTCCTGTGTCAGAGTCTAGGATACTCTCATCTTGTTGCCTCTCAGGTCTGCTGGACCAGTGAAGTGCTGAGAGGGAACAAGCTGAGGCTGGTGGGCCGCAGTGGGAGAGGCAGGGAGCCCTGGGGATGCTTCGGTCCAGATGTAGGGGGTGAGGAGCTGAGGTTACTGCTGGTTGTTCACCCCCTGCCCCACTCCCAGTTTCCTGCTCACAGGCTCTTCCTGTTTTGCTGTGAACTCCAGTTCCCATGGGCCCCACATGAAAGCACAGAAGGACAAGGGCGCCAGGGCAGGCAGCCAGAGAGATGGAAACAGAGATGAACAGGGCACCAGGGAAGAGGAGAAGAGAGGGAACAGGAAAGAGTGCACAGGGGGCATAGGGGAACAGGATGGGAGAAAGACAGGGAAAGCAGAAATAGAAAAGAAGCTTGGTGAAAGATGGGAGGAAGCAGAGGGTGGGGCAGGGGGAACAGGCGGGTCCCAGGGAGCAGAGACGAGAAGACAGCAGGCTGGGTGGTGTTGCAAAATCTGCCCATGTATTCATTTTCACATTTCAGAAAAGCCCCTCTGACATCCCCCATCTCTAAGTTCTGCCTCCAGCTTTGCTGTTGTTCCCTCTCATCACAAGGTCATCCCCTCACAAGGCCCCCACCCTGGTCTGGGCATGCCTGAGTCATGAGCACAAGGCTCTCCATTCCTCTTGCATGTGTTCCTCCCCCAATTTTCACAAGGCCCCGGTTGTCTTGGGAAAGTAGAAACCAGGGACTCCAGCCCCTGGGAAACTGGAACTGTTCTGTCCCAGCACTCACATCATCCATCCAGCTCTCTCCTTTCCCTCTCCCCATCCCCAGCAGCTCCAGCACAGAAGCTGGATGGCACTGAAACACCTGGTTACAAGGAACTTGGGATGTGACATTGGTCTGGGGCCTGATGCCCTATCTTCTGGAGTTGGGAAAAGCCTCTCTCATCCACTCCTGATCCTCGACTTCCTCTCCTTACACTCTAGTCTCCCCACAGCCCAAGGACCACAAAGAAGTCCCATCTGGAGCCGTCTGACCCAGGCTAGAGCCGCTTGCTGAACAAGCAGGTCAGGGCACCGTCTCCCCCAAGCCCGGTAGCCAGCCTCAGCCTCATCTCAAGTAGAGGAGAAGGGAGCTTTACCAGTGCTTTACTGCCAGAGCCACCCCTTCAGGTGACAGCCGCTCAGGAGCCTCCGCCCCATGAAGAGGAGAAGGGAGAGGAAAATGGCAGAAGACCAAAACCTGTTGGCAATGTCTCCACAGAGTTTCTGGAGACCAACCACTGGGACTTCTCCCTCGAGCCCTGTCCAGCAGGCAGGTGATCTGCAGCCGGAATCACACGTCTCACCCTGCCACCGCCACCCCCACCAGCCCACAGGAAGTGTCAGATGCAGCCCTGTGGGGCCTCCCCCATGTGTCCTTGGCTCCTAGAGGAGACAACATGTCTGGAAACACCTTTGGGGATCTTCCAAGTCCCATTTCTGACCCCCAGAAACTCTGGAGGCTTCTCCTTGCAGCAAGGGGCACCTTGAGGCAAAAATAGGAGCATTCACCAGCCCAAGGTCGTGTGCACTACTCAATAACCCCCCAAAAGCACTCAGGTTCCCATAAAGCAGGCCAAAAGGTACGGTTCAGAGGGAGGAACTGGGGCGACTGCTTCTTGCTCCCTCCTTCACCCTTCTGGAAAGGTGCAAGATGTGGGGGTCATCCTGCAGGTCACTCAAACAACTTATGCCCAACCTCCCAACCACGAGGTAGAGAAGAACCCAGGAATTCTGAGTTCAGAGACAATACAGATGGCAGAAAGGAAAGAAGAAAAGTAAGATTTACTTAGGCCCTACTACATTATCTTTACATGTATTATTCCATTTATGCTCATATATAACCCTGGGAGACGGTTACTAGCAAGGAGGCAAATATCAACTAGCAGACTCAAAAGTTCAAACTCAAACTAACAGACAAAGAAAACATCTTACTGCATTACACAAAATAGCCTCCTCAGATGGGAAAAGTGGTTAACCCGCTTGAATTTGGGTTCACTTCTGCCAACACGCGGTAGACCTATGGTTCCCAAACCTGGTCTCCTTTTCAGAGATGCTGATTTATTTGGTCTGTGGTAGGCCCACATACCTATTTATCCATCTACAGGGATCCAGTCCCTCTCTCTCTTTTTTTTTTTTTTTGCATCTGTAGTTAGGAACCAAGGTGTGGGGACCACAGAATCATCTGGTAGGAGTCGGGGGTCAAGAAACCAGGGCTCAGCTCTTGGTTCTACCATGTGCTCATGGTGTAATTCTCACCCTTCTTGGATTTGTTTCTTGTTATATAAATTGAAATAGCATCTGCTCCATCAAACCCTCCTACTTGAGATACTTGCAGGCACAAAGGATATAGACATACTTGAGCAAGTGGGAAGAAAAGCAAAAGATGAATTTGAGGGATTTTTGTTCTACTTGCCAAAATTTAGTGAGCCCAAGATTTATATTCTGAAATCACCATGATCTGGCCAGTTTGCAAGGAGAGTAAGGGGCACATTAAAACAGAACTCTCAAAAACTCCCACTAATATGCAGTATTTTGCCAAGTAGCCACGCCCATTCAACCCCACCAACATGAAAAGGTTTCCTTTGTTAGAAATCTCTTTACTGAAGGTATTTTGGGGCCACGGAATATGGTTTAGCAATGCAGTTTGCGTAGCCTGCAAGAAACAGCCCATTATAAAGACTATTTTGGAATCAGAAAACTTGAGTTTTAATCCATTCTCCTAAATGGTGTGACCTTGGACAAGTCACTTCCTCTTTCTGGGTTTTTCTTATCTATAAAGTAAAGGGACTAGGTTGGATCAGGGATTCAGAGATGCTGATTTAGGAAGCCTACGGTAGTCTTTGTGAACTGCCTGGCATTATACGCAAAATTCCACTTATGTATTTTTGTGTCTGTGAACATTTTTCTTGAGGAGAGGGGACGAAATTTTCCTCACATTCATAAAGGGCTTGTTATTAAATAAGAAGGTTAAGAACTATTTGGCTACCCAGCCTTCAGTTCTCATATTCTATTCATTTCTCCATAACAACTCTGGAAGCAAAGTTTAGATCCTGAGGTATACACAAATAATTGAACCTCGAGTCCTATAGCAAGATAATGACCCTGCTTTCTCCCATATAGTTCTGAACGGGTTTTATTTCCCCAGTGATTTGAGGTAATTTGCTTCTAGTGGACAGATCTGAATGAAAGCATCACAAGGACCTACGATTTGACCTCCTGGAGCTGTGAGTCACCCCAAGAGCAGTCACAAAGCCCTGAGACCAAACTGGCTCCCCCGGATCCTAACGGTCAACGCCAGGAGGGCCTCTGAGGCTGTAGAAACCCCACCTGCTCCCACTTCATGATATACTCCTTCCCTTTACACCTATACATCCTTCCGTTGGTCTGAAATTCCTCCCTTAGGGATTCATTGCTTTGGTTTTGCCAAGTCTGAACATCCTGTGCAACCCAACTCTTTCGGGAAGAGGCATGACATCTAGATTCTAATTAACTCACACTTGGAACTGGACGAGTGGGAGGGCAAGGAAAGGCCTGGAAGGGGAAGTGAGAGGGCTCCTGAAGCTTCGCTCAGGCCATGAGCAGCAGGCTACACAGGGACCAACCTCAAGGACACACGGAGTCCAAAGGGCTGTTTACACGCTGTGCCCTGCACCCCAAACGAGACCTCTTCCGGGGAACAGAGCCAGGGCCGAGGCTGGAACTCCGCCCGAAGGCAGCGGCGGGGAGAGGGCGCCCTATACTACCCCTCGCGCCAATCCTGCGCCGGGTCGGGCCCGGCAGCACCGGTTTCGAGGGGGCGCCGGCTCTCCCGGCCACGATCCTGCCCAGGGCAGGCGCCACCTCGGGACGGGCTCTCCGCGGGCAGCGGCAAAGCCGAGCTAAGCGCTCTTTCCAGAAACCAGGTCTTCCAGCCCTTTCTGCTGCGCGAGGTCGCGCTGCATTCCCACGCCCCTCTGCCGCGGCCAGATTGCGAACTCCTACATGGATTCGCCCCCTAGATTCCTCCTTCTCCCACCACGCCTGCCCCTCCTCTAGCAAGATGGCGGCGGGCCACTTCCGGCGTGTGTCCTTAAGGGGGCGTCCGGGCGGCTGCCTCAGGTCCCAGCTAGCGGGTTCCAGTCTCTTTGCTGCATAGGCTACAGCGGTGATGGCGGGTAGACCGTTTGGCTGGAGCCGGGCGGGTCTCCTCCAGCTCCTTCTCGGCGTGAACCTGATGGTGATGCCACCCACCCAGGCCCGGAGTCTGCGCTTCGTTACCTTGGTAATGAGAGATGGGGTCGCCAACGGGCTCGCCAGAGCTAGAAGGGCACCGGCCTGCGGGTGGAGGGAGGGGTGGGGCTTGTGGCTGGGGTCGGGGGTCTGGAGGAGGAGGAGCTGGTTTAGGAGGAGACACTGGCCTGCGGGGCTGGGGCCCGGGTTGGGAATTTTTGTGGAGCCCTGGGGTATTTTGGGGGGCGGAGTGTAAGGGGTTCTATATCATGAGATAGATCAGATCAGTCTGCCCTGATCAGTCTGTCCAATGGTTAAGAGACTCATCGCTAAACAAGCCTTTGGTGGTCTTTTTTCCAGTTTCGCCCACCGTTTGCATTGCTTTTATTTCTCTTTTCCTTTCCCACCTGTACCTTTGCCTTTGCTTATGGTCTCCAGTGGCATTGCTTAGCCAAGTTAGAATCTCTGGAACCTGAAAGAAGTTACTGACATCTGGGTTGGGGTCTTTTGCAGTGGGTAGAGTTAAGGCTTCCCAGAGGGAAGGAAGCTTCCCTCCCCATCATGGGGCAGAGGTGGGCTCCGTGTCCCCATTAAGGAGACCCTACTGACCTGTAGGCAAACCATTTTCCTTCCTCAGCTGTACCGACATGGAGACCGCTCGCCAGTGAAGACATATCCCAAGGACCCCTATCAGGAAGACAAATGGCCCCAGGGATTTGGTCAGCTAACCAAGGTGGGTCAGAAGCAAACCCTCCCTCAGGATGAGCTGTAGAACGAGTGACCTCTAGAGCAGGCTACAGACCTTGGGGCCCCACCAAACTCTATTTCCCACGTGAGTGCTCACTTTGACCAGATGAAAATGGGCACACACAATGCCATGCACAGCCGGCCACTTAATAAATGACTTCTGGGGTCAGACTAACCCACTCCTACTTCCAGCCAGGTGTAAACTTGGGAAGCCACAGTGCCTAAGCCCTGTGGGACCTAACAAGCCATCTGTTCCCTCTGCACCCTCCTAACCCTTGGGTTGCCCACAGGAGGGGATGCTACAGCACTGGGAGCTGGGCCAGGCTCTACGGCAGCGCTACGATGGCTTTCTCAACACCTCTTACCACCGGCAGGAGGTAAGGCTGGGAGCTCAAGAGGCAAGGGAAATGGGCTCTGCTGTCCTCACCCCGGGAGCCTAAGGGTGAGTCTGGGTGCTCTGACTTCCCTCCATGCGTTTTGGTTATAACTGCAGGACAAGACATCCAGGAACTTCTAAAACAGAGCCAAGAGGCTGAGTTGCCCCTGCTTGGCTGAGAAGAGGCAAAACTGGTCAAGCATCCAAGCTCAGACTTTAGGAATGCCTGGCAAAGTCGTTTCTGACGCTTGTGAAATAACTCGGATTTTCCATCCAAGACATTTATTAATACCTGCGAAAGGCCAACCCCTGTGCTAGCACTTTGTAGACAGTGGTGCACCACACGGATGGGATCTCTGTCTTTGTGGAGCTTAGAATGTAGCGGGGGTGACCGATGACAAACCACACAGGGCCAGGCGATAAAGGTAGCAGGGAAGATATACGTAGAGAGGGCATGTCAGGGAAGACTGGCAAGTGTGCTGGCTCCTTGAGGCTATCTCCCCACCCCAGGGATGGGAATAGCTGTTCCTCTGGTTACTGCTGTCAGCCACGGCTGTCTCAAGAGTCTCTAGATGTTGTTATTGTTCCCTTGAGGGCCACTCTGTCCTGATCGTCCCTTCCCCACAGTGTCCTCCCTTTTCACAAGCAGTTCTCTCTGTTCCCTATCTGACTTCCTATCCCTGGTCTCGAAGCTGGTTTATAAAGGGGGATGCCGTTGGCGACAGTTTCTGCCCTCAAGGACCCTGGTCTAGATAGGGAGACAGATGTTATAAAACCAGCCTTACTAAGCACTTTGGACTGGGAGGGGCATCTGAACTAGAGCCATCCGCACGGTTCTTCAGAGTGGTGAGCGTGAGCCCCCAGCGGAGCGTTTGGGCCTTTGCTGGGAAGAAGGACGGAGAGGGGCCAGATGAGTGCTGTTTAGTTTGCTGGATAACCCTCAAGAACAGGTTCTCCCCCCGGGGCCCCGCCGACGGGCCCAAGCTCCCCTGCCCCACCCCCCAGCGAGACTCGTCTTGTCGTCTCTGCAGGTTTACGTGCGAAGCACAGACTTTGACCGCACTCTCATGAGTGCTGAGGCCAATCTGGCTGGACTCTTCCCTCCCGAAGGGATGCAACGCTTCAACCCAAACATCTCTTGGCAGCCCATCCCCGTCCACACAGTGCCCGTTGCCGAGGACAGGGTAAGAGTGGCCAGCCCCTCCTTGAAGGCGGTGAGAGGAACAACCCTGGCCATGGGCCTGCTGGGCCGACTCCTTCTCTGCCTCTGCTTCCCCCCTTCCGCCTGCAGCTGCTGAAGTTCCCGTTGGGCCCATGTCCCCGTTATGAGCAGCTGCAGAACGAGACCCGGCAGACGCCAGAGTATCAGAATGAGAGTATTCGGAATGCAGTGAGTGGGGCTGAGGTGGAGGCCATCACACTGTCCTTCCTTTCCCCCAGGGCAGCACTGATGCCCTGACCCGTTTCTCATAGCAATTTCTCGATATGGTGGCCAACGAGACAGGGCTTACAGACATGACACTGGAGACCGTCTGGAATGTCTATGACACGCTCTTCTGTGAGGTGAGCCCGCTTCGGGTCCCCGGCGTGACTTCTCACACCTCAGCAGGCTCAGGTGACCAGGACCAGTAGAACACAATGCCTGGAGACCATTCCCACCGAGGAGGTCCAGGCAGGCTTCTTGTGAAACAAGGGAACTTCCTTCATGGGTGAAAAAGAACCCCAGAGTGGGAAATAGTTTATTAATGTCAGCAGTTCCTGCTCCTCTCCACCCAGAGCTCTCGTGGTGTCCGACGCCACTCCGCTGAGTCACGCTTTTTTGTGCCTGAGCCTCCTTTCCCGTGCCCTGCAGCCTCGAGTGTCCGCCCCATCTCCTGGTTCCAGTCCCTCTGCTCTACCTCTCCTGTCCTCTCCCTCCCCTCACACACGCAGGCACCTTCCCACTGGGGCAGAGCGCTGTCCCCGGAGAGGTCCTCGGGGAGCTAACCTGCCCACTGTGATGCACAGCAAACACACGGGCTGGTCCTGCCGCCCTGGGCCTCACCCCAAACCATGCAGCGTCTGAGGCGGCTAAAGGACTTCAGCTTCCGCTTCCTCTTCGGGATCCACGAGCAGGCAGAGAAGGCCCGGCTTCAGGGGGGTGAGTGACGAGAGCAGCATGTCACTCCCCTCCCCAGGACTCTAGAGCATTAAAAATCTGCCGTTGGGAGCTTCTCACACACTTACTTCTCTTCCTGTAATGTTTTCTGCTCTTTCAAAACCAGATTGTGCTGCTTTTCTGCCATTCATGTTCTTCAGTTTCACCCATGTCAGAAGACCCTCCTTCCCTTTAAATGAATAACTCCCTCCAGAGAACCCCTGGGAGCCACTTTGACAGAAGGCTCAGAGCAATACACCTGCTAGTTTCCTAATCTGAGCACCCAGGGGAGTGCCAGCTGTCAGAGCTTTCTGACGTCTCAGTAGTTTTCAGAGTCTGCACATGGCACAGTTCCCCTGGCCTCGAGCCACCATCTTGTGTGCTCTGAGCAATCTTAAGTTTATGTTTGTTCCAAGCTAGTAACTCTTCACAGGCAGGGTCTAGTGGCTCATTTATAAATGGCCAGGTTTCTACATCTGTGTTGAAATACGGATAGATTTCGTGTCTTACCTCGCTCCCCTCTGTGCATGTGAAAGTGCTTAGAGAGCAGGAGGTGCTGTAGAGTTTCCCCATGGTCCCCGTGAGCCTAAGGAGTCCCCTGTGCTGGTGACCAGACAGCCCCGGGACTAGCAGAGGGTGAGAGGGCCACAGATGGGTCTGCCAACAGTGATGGCTGGAGCTCCTGACCCCGAGGACTGTTCTCCTTCAGGAGTCCTGCTGGCTCAGATACGGAAGAACCTGACCCTCATGGCAACCGCCTCCCAGCTCCCTAAGCTGCTGGTTTACTCCGCGGTAAGCTCCCATAGTCCCCAGCGTGCTCATGTCAAGCAAGGGGCTCGATTTCTCTATTTAGTGCCTGGGGTGCAGGGGAGCAGTGCTGATGGGCAGCCCCTCTCCCTTACAGCACGACACCACCCTCGTTGCTCTGCAAATGGCACTGGATGTCTACAATGGTGAACAAGCCCCCTACGCCTCCTGCCACATATTTGAACTGTACCAGGAAGACAATGGGTGAGTGGACCTACCAGCTGCCCTCGGGAGGGGCACTCGCATGGTGGCTGTGGGCAGCCCGAGGACTCTATTACAGGCCTGCTGAGCGGCCCCCATCTTGTTTCCTGTCAACCCGCAGGAATTTCTCAGTGGAGATGTACTTTCGGAATGAGAGTAACAAGGCCCCCTGGCCGCTGAGCCTGCCTGGCTGCCCTCAGCGCTGCCCGCTGCAGGACTTTCTTCACCTCACAGAGCCTGTCGTGCCCAAGGACTGGCAGCAGGAGTGCAAGCTGGCAAGCGGGCCTGCAGACACAGGTGAGCTGCTGCCTGCCTCTGTGCTAGCCATGTCTGAGCACAACTGTAGCGTCCTCTGCACAGGTCTTGAGAGCTGGCACACACTTCCAGCCATCTCCACATGCCCCTGGACAGTTCACCTTCCCACCCTGAGCCCATCTTACACCTCCCTACTCTTCACCCTCAGGTGATGCCCTCACTTCCTATCACTGAGAAAGTAAAAGCAACCAGGAGAGAATTGTCTCCTTCTCCCACCACCAGATCTTGCAGCTTACTTGCTGGTGTAAGCTGCTGGTGAAGGCCAACCTTATACTCTGGGTCCATCTCTTCTCACCTCCACCAGGACCTCTGATGCCTCCGTGCTTCCTCTCTACTGGATCAGTCCCATTTCAAAAGCCTAACAGAAAGCTCTTAAGCCCACATCTTTCTCCAGCTGCCACTCCGTTTCTGTTCCCATGGAATCCTTCCAAGAGTTGCCTAGACTCTGGTTTTGCTTCCTCACCGCCCATTCTCTGGGCCTCACACTAGATGGTCTTATGTCACCTTTCACTCATTGAAACCACTCTCGTCAAGGACCAATGACCAGTTCTTATCAGCTTCTCACCTCTCAGCAGCATTACATAATTGGGCCCTCCTCCCTTAAACACTTCCTTGGCTTCTCTGATTTTCCTCCTGAATTACAGGCAGCTTCCTTATTGGCTTCTCCTCTGAACAGTGGATGGCCTAGGGCTCATCTCGGCCCTTTCCCCATCTGTGCCCACTCCCACGGCGATCTCATCCAACCTCAGGGCTTCATATATCATCTCCACGCTAAGTTCCATCTGTGTGACTAGCAGATTCCTGACCTCTTCTCTGAGCTAGACTCACACATCCAGCTGCCGACTTGGTCTCCACATGGATGTCAACTAGGGCATCTCAAAGTTGCTATGTCTAAAACCAAATGCTCTTCCTCCCAAATCTGCTCTTCCTCCAGGCTTCCCCCTCTTATTAAATGCCACGTTAATCAGCCAGTTGCATAGTATAACCCTAGGAGTTACCTGAATACCCGCTTTCTCACACCCCACATCCAACCCACTAGTAGATCCTCTCAGCTCAATCTTTAAAATACATGCTCTTGCTCCCTTGTTCAATCTACCAGTCTCTTGCCTGACCTACTGAAAACCTTCCTAATGTTCCGATTCTCTTCTTGTCCCTGCCAGTCTCTCAGCACAGCAGAGTGTTTTTAAAAACATAAGTCAGTTGCATCATCCCCTTCTCAGGATCTTCCAGGGGCTTCCCATCACATTTGGAAGAGATTCCAAGTTCTTCACTGTGGCCTTCCGGGCCCGTCTTGGTCTGGTCCTCCACTCTCACCTCCTGCTTGCCCCTCACGCACTCTGCTCTAGCGATACTGACTTTCTTCTGATCGAAGAACATGCCAAGCTTATTCCCCCATCAGGGCCTTTGGCATGTGCTTCCCGTCTACGCCCCCAACCCCAGGACACTCTGCTCTCAGATCTGTCTCTCACTCTGGGACTCCAGGTCTCTGTTCAAATTGTCACTTCCTCAGTGACACCTGCCCTGACTGACCTACCTCTCCATCCTTTCCCCCTTATCTTTGTTTTTCTTTACGGTATTTGCCCTTGCCCATCATTCCTGCCATTTGCTTGTTTACTGACTCTCCTCCTGGAATGTAAAATCCTTGAGGGCAGAGCCTGTGTCTTGGCCACCCAGGTACATCCCCATTGTGGGAAGAGCACCTGGCGTATTGCAGGCACCCAAATGTTTGTTGAATGAACGCTGACATGATCTTTCTCTCCCTCTCTCCGTGTTCAGAGGTGATCGTGGCCTTGGCTGTCTGTGGCTCCATCCTCTTCCTTCTCATAGTGCTCCTCCTCACCGTCCTCTTCCGGATGCAGGCCCAGCCTCCTGGCTACCGCCACGTTGCAGATGGGGAGGATCACGCCTGACAACCACTCAGCCCCCTTCCCTCTGCCTCCTAGGGGAGGTGGGCTGGGCCCTTGCTCCTGACTGCTGCTGCTCCCCAGCCCATGGACAGGAAACCTTGGGTTGGGCCTCCCTGTGATGACCCCAACCTAATGAACAAGTGGAACTCGGCTTGGCCCATGGACCTGTCACTCAGCATTTACACGCCTGATGTTTACCAAGTATTGTGTTGGACACTGGCTTTCTCCAAACAGGATTTGCTTCCTCCATGTTCCCTAAGGACCTGAAATGTAGACAGGTATTCAAGTTTCACTCAGGACCTGGTATAAAAAAATGAAGGAGTGGGTACTTGATCTGCCCTGCGCCTCCAGCCAGCCCTGCTCTCTTTCTTCCAGTCTGGAATCTTTGGCAGATGGCTCAGAGGACACAGTCTTGCCTCTCAGTACTTATTTTAGTGGGAAAAACTGCACAACATTGGGGGTACAAACATTGGCCACCAAGGAACCAGATCACCCAGTAGCCAGCCAACCCAGTTTTCCTTCGTCTGGCTGAAGTAACCATTAGAGCCAGAAACAATGCTTCAGGCAGCTTTGTCAGCCCTGCAGCTTGAGCAGGTCGGAAGGCTGTTTGGACTTGGGAGGGGGTGGGAAGAGGTGGGTGGGGAGTGAACTGTGGTACAGAGTCATGAAACTGTCCCTCGCAGCTGGGCTGGGGTCTCCAGGGACCCGAGGTAAACGCAGGTTGTGAGCTGGACAGCTCTTGACTGTGGCCCAGAATAGGACTGACGCAGCTTCCAGAGAATGAAAGTTTTGGATGCTTAGTATGGTTTCTGTGCCTTTTCTTCACTTGCGGGACCCAAGGAGCCCTCTGACCAGGTCGGTGCTGGAAGATCCACTCAGAAGCTCAGTTGGGTATTCTTTTATTGCCATGTCAACAGTGAACACACATCGGAAACCACTACCTGATCGCTCTGCCACTGCACGTCAGAAAGGAAAAAAGTAGCTTGGCTTTAGGTTAGATACAGCAGAGACCTCTGGAGCAGCTGGGTCGCCAACTCTAGAGAAGTTTCTGGAGCTGAGTCCAGAACAGAAACATGCCAGTGTCCCAGTCCCATAGTGTCCCATGCCACAGTGCCCCTGCTCCAACCCTAAGACTTGGATACCTTTGCCCTTTAACACACAGCCGCCTCTTCTTGCAGGACTTGTTCTCGTGTGGCTCCAAGCCCTGCTTGGCCCACACCTTCATTAATGTCTCTCACTTCTGCATCCCAGCTTCCTCCTGGCTCCAAATGAGAATGTGATAACCTAGGAGGAGTGAGACCAGTCTGACTCGAACCTTCTGTTACCAGTCACTGAGAGCTTGGGGCTGGCCCAGGGAACCTAAGACTGGGTAAGGAAATACCAGGAAACTAGACAGCAGCCAGGCGTTGCCATGACCAAGACAAAGCAAAAGGCTCTGGAGGGCTTGGGCCAAAGAGCCCACTATCTCGCGGTTATTTTCTTTACTGACTGCTACTCTAGGATGAAGGTGGCAGGGCGGCAGGGCTAGGCTGAGGTTAGCCTGCACGGAACCCTGAGGAGTAGGGTCGGGCTTGGCCAGTCTGAGATATAACCTACTTCACTCACCCATCACAGAGGCCAGCGTGTCCCCAATGGGATTGAACTCATTGAGCTGCAGAGACAAGGGGATAAGATGAGGCGGGGTGAAGGTATCGGCAGAGATAAAGCAGGGTACCCAAGCACTAATTTCCGGTCATTTTTGGTCAGTCAAGTAGGTTCAATCCCTGCTTCCTCCCATTATTTGAGGTCCCAAGCCTCACCGAAATGATACCAGAAGATTCTGGGTCATAGAGCTGATGCATCATCTTCCCTGAGCTTCCATCAAACACATCGATCGTCCTTAATTCATAGGGGGTACAACTTTTGAAATTAGGATCTGGGTATCGGCCCACGACAATGAGGTTGTACCGAGGATGCCAGGTTGCCTAGGAGATGGAGAGGCTGGTCATGAGAGTAAATGCAGAAGGCTACGAAGAGGGACATCAAAAGTATTCTTTGCCACTGACAATTGTTAATACAATTGCCAATAACTTTAATAATGGAAATAAGACGTACATGAAATTACAAGAATGGTTTTCAATTGTGTGTACATCTACCACTGCAAATTTTAAATGCCCAGCTGGCCTTCCTGGCCCTTAGGACACCTATGGGCCTTCTCTCTCTTCTGTATTCTAAGATCATATCAACTGATGAATGTGTTAACATCAGCCTCACCCAGACATTAACCAAAGAGGTAAGCCTACAACAAAGCAAAAAGCCTCTGGTAACCAAAACTGAACAGGACATAGGTTCCAAAGGAAGCCCACTGCTAACCCTCCTCCATCCACATGAATAAGAAGAGTATGACATGACTAGTGGCTAAGAAGGGGGAGGAAACCTCTGTCCGCAGATTACCCTGCTGAAAACAAATCTGGCAGTTAATGGAATGTCAGAATTGGATGGGATTTTCCTAAGAAAGCTCAAGAAGTTTTGAAGGAGGACGGACATGGTTAGCAGGAAGGAAGAAGTGTTATGTGCAATGGTTTGGGAATAAGTCACCCACATGTCACGCCTGGGAAGCCGTAAGCTGGCCTGGCTGGACAGGAAGTGGGTCAATGGGAAGACCAACTGGTGCAGGACCCTGGATGTTATTAAGAGCCTGGAGGTGATCTATGTGCCGGCTACTCTGACACTCACCATTTACTGAGTACTTACCAGACGCTAGGCGTGGCGCCACGTGCTTTACGAATACTGATCATCCTCCCAACAGCCCTGTCAGTTAGATACTATTATTCCCTTTTTATAGATGAGGAAACTGAAATCCAAAATTTAAGTCATTTGCCCAAAGATTCTAACCCAGGGGTTTCTGCCTACCTGAAAACAGCGCTCCCACCAGTATGCTATATGACCAAAGAAATACAGGCGTGAAACCTGGCGATGGCTGTGGTTCTGGGAAAGAATACAAACGAGGAGAGCAGAACTGGGGAAGGAGACGGCACGGGGGGATTGGGCAGGAAGGAATCGCAAGACTTGAAGACTGTAAGCCAAGGGGACTGAGGCGAGAGAAGGCTAAGGTTAGCGTGTGGATCAGCTACACACAGTTCAGGTGAGAGCGGAACAGAGGATCGCGATCTCAGAGAATGCCCGGTGAGGAGATGGGGCTGGGCTGAAATAGCTCAAGATAGAAATAGCTTATCAGAAGGACACAAAGCAAACCCAGCCAGATGGGATTGCCGAAGTGGGACAAAAGGAGCAGAAGAGCCGGGGGATAAGAGAGTGCTTTGTGTCAGGGCAGAAAGAGATCTGGGATTAAAGGCTTCTGTGTCTGCCCTCTCCCCACCGACTGTCCCACGATCACGCTCTTCCTTCCATCACTCACCTTGATGGGCGTCAGGTGCTGGAAGTGGCGGTGAGGGTGTGGGATCAGGTTCAGGGGGCAGTCCCACTGGGAGGCAGAGTAAACCCGGATCTCGCTCTTCTGGTCAGTGGTCAGGAGCTGCGCTCCATCGGGACTGAAACAAGCTGGCAAAGTGAAAAGCCCCTGAGCTGAAGAAACCACAGCCCCCTGGGGTCCTGGACCCTCGCAGGCCTTCTCTTGCAGGGCACACCCCCTCCCACTCCTCTCCATAGGGGTGGAAGGAAGGCGGTGAATCTGGGCTGTGAACAAAAACATTCTAGATACTCAGCAGCTGATGGAGGCAGCTCGAGTCAGAAAGGTCCCAAAACATCAGCTTGGCTGATGCTATCAGGGGTCAAGGCATGACCCAGTGGCTTCTACACTTGGAGGGAAAACCCTAGAAGCGGTCAGGTGGGCAGCCTGCAGGAAGGACGAAGTCTGGTATATCACACCTGCGTTGACAGGATGCCTGTGCGGCAGCGAGTAGAGGAAGCTGGATTTCCCTCTAACCTGGCGCAGGTCCCAGATTTTCACTGTTTGATCTACGGAGGCTGTGGCCAGGAACCAGTCACAGCACGGGTTCAGGGCCACATGGGTCACTTTCTTTTTGTGCATTCTCAGATTCCAAAGCTGCAGAGAAGAGCTCGGTTCAAGGTGGGGCACAGAACCGAGGCTGGGGGTATGGGAGGGAAAAGGAGGGCCAGGGATGCAGAGAACGCACCTCCTTGCCGTCCATGTTCAGCAGGATCACATGGCCCACGTTGTCTCCTGTGACCACCATTCGGCTTTTGGCAGACACATCCAGGCTGCAAAACCAGAAGCTGGAGGGAAAGACTGTGCTGTAAGATCTTGGGGACAGAGGCAAGGTCCATTTATGCACTGTTGTAGCTCCAGCGTCTAACGCAGAGTAGCCATTCAGTCAGTATTTGTTGAATCAATGAATAACTGTCTTGCCATGGACTCCCAGCGAGGAACACTCAGCATGTCTTCCCACCCAGACAGAGCGGATGGGGGTGATGGGGCTCAGAAATTTGTCCAGTTACTGCTGGGCCCAGGCTCCTCGGCTAGTAAGAGTCCCTGAAGCAGCCACGCCTCGGAGCCACACGGCAAGTCCCCACACTAGCCACAACCCTACCGCCCCGGTTCCGAGAAGGATTCTTTATTGCTCCCTCCCTTCACTCTCCACTCGTGAGCCAAAGAAGATGACACACCAAACAGGGACTGCCCAGTTTTGTTCCTCAGAGCCGGCTAGAAAGGAACTTCTGCCCCCTTCTGAGCATTTAGGGGAAAAAGCACACGCAACCCAGAATATCTGTCTTGCTCTTTTGGCCCTCAGACGACTGAGGACCAAGGCACTGGGTTGGGGGTGCTTCAGGGATCCAGATACCCAGCCAGGAGAGCTCGGACTCATTTTTTCTCTCAAACCCTCAAATCCTTGCTACACTGCCTTTTGTATCCCCTACAAATGTCTCTAAGAGGGAGGGTTTCTTGTGGAAGGGTAACTTGGAGCTGAATCTGTCCAGTCACCTGTCCTGACTGCGGGAGGTGTCTTATGCTGTGGGCAGCCCAGGATGACATGCGGTGTTAGCCGCCCACACCCTCAGGCCCTTAGGGAGCAGTCAGTTGTGTCTCTGGCTAGAGATAAAAGTGACAAGTATTTTGCAGTTTCTCCAGCAGCTTGGTCCTGGGGAGCCCAAGGTGCTTTGTGATTCTATCCATTCAAGCTTCCATCAAGAAGCTGGTGGGGTCCTTACAGCCCTGCAAATGTAGGGGATGAAATCTGAAGTTCTTGGTTCCTGCTCCAGGCTCTAGGCGGCTTTCTAGGCCAACGCCACGCTGACTTGTCTAGTGAGCATCCAGGTCTAGTCTGATATAGGAATGACGTACAGAAGAGCATCAGCCCTACCCTCGCTGAGATGAGCTGAGGCTCCAGAAGCCCTCCCCGAAGCAGTAACCCGCCTGGACCAGAGTAAGAGGAGCTAAAGAAAGAGTGTGAGAAAAGAGAGGGAAGGTGGAAAGTGGCTAACACCTTTCCTTTCCTCCCTGTGCCAAGTCTGAGTAAAAGAAAGGGGACCTGGATGCTCTCACCAGAACTGCACTGAGAGCCTGGAAGCCCTTTCCCCTCCTAGTTAAACTACTCACTTGCAGGTGTCATAGCTGGAAAAAACTCGGAGAGTGTTGCCTTTAAAGTCTTGCAGCCTAGTTGTTCCCTCCATTGAGGAGGTGAAAAACTGGTCGGTATTGAGAGGGTTAAACTTCAGCCCAGTGATGCTCCCTCCAGCTCCAATCTAACACGAGGAAGAGAAAAGCCAGTGAGTGATGAGGCCCAGGAAGAGGATGAGGCCTGGGTACGCATACTCTGCCCCAACAGAAGAGCCAGGCAGGCGGCACTTGGGCCAGGCCAGCTTAGACACCTAGACATTAGGATGCTCTCCATGGTGCCCTGTATTTCTTAAGGTTTTAGTTTTATTTTTTAAATAAATAGACAGTAAATTTGGTTGTTTTTGGTATACAGTTCTATGAATTTTAACATACGCGTAGATTTGAATAAACACCACCATATCACTATGCAAAACAGTTCTGTTCTCCCACTGTAGTCCCACCCTGCCTCCAACCTTCTCCCCGATCTGGTCTCCATCACCATGGTTTTGCCTTTTAGAGACTGTCATATAAACGAATCATATGGTGTGCAACCTTCTGAAACTGCCTTCCTTCGTTTCCCTAAGCATAAAGCCCTGAGATTCATCCAAGTTGCTGTGTTTATAGAGCTCGTCCCATTTTATCGCCGAGAAGTAGTCCCTGTGTGGATATCCCATGGTTTACCGCACAGCCCTCATGTTAGAAGAGCTTCAGCTCACATCAGTGGCTGGGTTAGGAGGGTAGGAGTCAGATCTGAGCTCCTCCCTATTTCTTCCAGACATCCCAGACAATGATGATGAAGAGAGTCATGAGAACACCGACAGCGTTAACTTTCTTTAGTGCTGCCTATGTAGCCGGCACTGGTTTGAGAACTTGGCGTCCCCGAGAGCTCCCGTTCCACTGCTTCCTTGTCCTGCTGCTAGCGCAGCCTCGCAGACCCCTACAAGCCTCTTCCACGACATTCACTTAACTCACTCAACAGAATAACTGGCACTCTCCATTCCCTCTCTAATACGTTCTAACTGACGCCCTTCGTCGGCCAAATCCTTGCTGCCAGTAAGAGAATCTGCTCCAAGGGTTAGTTGTGTTTGTTCTTAAACCCGTATAAGCCAGTTGTATGTTTCATTATAATTATGTAATCTAATTAGACATATAATTTAATTACATGTAATGTATTAAACAATTAAACACTTAAACTTTAAACATTTAATTAAATGTAATTCAATGAAACCGATGAAATACATGCAAAAAGAAAGACCAGCGTTATTTCTATGAAAGCCAAGTTGAATGCTTTGGAAAAACCAGATAAAAATGAGTTGCTAAAGGGGCTGGCCCCGTGGCCGAGTGGTTAAGTTTGCGCGCTCCGCTGCAGGCGGCCCAGTGTTTCGTTGGTTCGAATCCTGGGCACGGACATGGCACTGCTCATCAAACCACGCTGAGGCAGCGTCCCACATGCCACAACTAGGACCCACAACGAAGAATATACAACTATGTACTGGGGGGCTTTGGGGAGAAAAAGGAAAAATAAAATCTTTAAAAAAAAAAAAATGAGTTGCTAAAAATAATAGTTGTCAAATTAAGCATGAGTAAGATACTTATAAATGATTAAGGTGAGAAATAATAAAAATTGTAAAAGAATCTACAATAAGATGGCTTCACAAATATCTTTAAAATTATGTCTCCACTTTAAGGAAATGGAAATGAGATCGTATAAAGAATACATTAAGGGTGTGGTTTATGTCAGACCAGGTGAACCCTAATCAGGGGACCCTTACTCCAAGGAAAGGACTGGCCCTTGGTCAAAGCATTAGTGATAAACACTTATATAAACATTTCAAGTTAAATTGCACGAGTGTTCCTCTAACAAGTGTGGACTAAGTGGTTATGACCAACTCTTACACTGAGAAGGATGAACAAAACCTGGGCAAAATACGAAAAAGGAATATATTGAGATTTCCAGTCTTGGTGGGTTAGCTTGTTAGGCCAACCTACTGTCGAGAACAACTAGAAAAGGAAGATAAAATATATGTCTTTAGAGAAAGGTTTCTGAAGTCACCGGAGCGCTACTGAGGCATCAAGGACTTGAAGACCAAGGTCCTAGAGAAGAGAGAAGCAGAAAGGTAAGCCCGACCGTGGGAAGCTGCTTATCCTCTGGAGGCATATGCAGGATAGACAGCTGTGGCTGAGGAGCAGAGAAGAGAACTGCACAGAAGCGGAGCAGAAAGTGGTGGCGTAAAGGCTGAGAAGCCGAGCAGAGGTTTTGTCAGTCTCATAGGTCACGGGGGCAAAGGCTGGAGTTCACACCTGCCGAGGAGGAGAGACATTGGGAAAATCCAGCTTTTAGTCAGCATCCCTGACACCCTAGAAATAAGAGCAGGCTAGAAACAGACCATCCCGCACAAAGACCGAAGTCCAGATTCCAATAATTTCAATCTCTGATCAGATGAAGATGACCTGCTTTCAGCCTACCTACCTGCCAAGGGAAAAGATTCATTCTCTCTGAGGGAAAACAATACCGCTCAGAACTGTAAATTATTGCTACAAGTTTTCACATACAATATTTGACATTGAATCTAAAATTATCCAGCAAATTGGTAGGCGAGACCAAATAACCAATAATTCAGAGAAGAAAACAACAGTTGAGGGACACTCACAAGAGATCGAGATATGGGGGCTATTAAACACAGGCTTTAAAATAATTGTAATTAACATACTTTAAAAGTAGACCCAGGGGCTGGCCCTATGGCTGAGTGGTTCAGTTCACGTGCTCCGCTTCGGTGGCCCAGGGTCTCGCCGGTTCAGATCCTGGGCGCAGACATGGCACCACTTACCAGGCCATGCTGAGGTGGCGTCCCACATGCCACAACTAGAAGGACCCACAACTAGAGTATATAGCTATGTACCAGTGGGCTTTGGGGAGAAAAAGGAAAAATAAAATCTTTAAAAAAAAGAAAAAATAGACCTAATTAGGTGGCCAATCTGATGGTAGAGTGGTTAGGTTCCCATGCTCCACTTCAGCAGCCCAGGGTTCATGGGTTCGGTCCCCGCACGTTGATCTACACACCACTCGTCAAGCCATGGTGTGGTGGCATCCCACATGCAGAGTAGAGGAACACTGGCACAGATGTTAGCTCAGCAACAATCTTCCTCAAGCAAAAAGAGGAAGATTGGCAATTAGCTCAGCAACACCAATCTTCCTCACACAAAAAAACAGACATAATTAAAAAATGGACGAAGGATTTACATAGACATTTCTCCAAAAAAAAGATACACAAATGGCCAGTAGGACATGAAAAGATGCTCAACACCATTAGTCATTAAGGAAATGCAAATCAAAACCACAAGAAGTCACTATTTCACACCCACTAGGATGGCTATAATCAAGAAGATGGAGGGCCGGCCCCGTGGCCGAGTGGTTAAGTTCGCGCGCTCTGCTGTGGCGGCCCAGGGTTTCACTGGTTCGGATCCTGGGCGTGGATATGGCACTGCTTGTCAGGCCACATTCAGGCAGCATCCCACATGCCACAACCAGAAGGACCTGCAACTAAGATATACAACTATGTACTGGGGGGATTTGGGGAGAAAAAGCAGATTGAAAAAAAAAAGATTGGCCACAGTTGTTAGCTCAGGTGCCAATCTTAAGAGGAAAAAAAAAAAAAAGATGGACAATATCAAGTGTTGGCAAGACAACCTACAGAATGGAGAAAAATATTTGCAAACTATATATCTGATAACGGGGTAATATCCAGAGTATATAAAGAACTCCTAAAACTCAACAACAACAAAACAAATAACCCAATTAAAAAATGGGCAGAGGGCCTGAATAGACATTTCTCCAAAGAAGACAGACAGATGGCCAACAGGTATATGAAAGGCTGCTCAACATCAGGGATAATCATCAGGGAAATGCAAATCAAAACCACAATGAGGTATCACTCACACCTGTTAGAATGGCTATTATCAAAATGACAAAAGATAAGTGTTGGCAGGAATGTGAAGAAAGAAGAACCCTTTGTGTTGGTGGGAATGTAAACTGGTACAGCCATTAGGGAAAACAGCATGGAGGTTCCTCCAAAAATTTAAAATAGAACTATCATATGATCCAGTCATCCCACTTCTATGTACATAGCCAAAAGAAATGAAATCAGTATCTCAAAGAGATAGCTGCACTCTCATGTTCATTGCAGACTTATTCACAACAGCCAAGATATGGAAACAAGCCAAGTGTCTGTCAACTGATGAACGAATAAAGAAAACGTGGCATATATATACAATGGAATATTATTTAGCCTTCAAAAACAAGGAAATCCTGTCATTTGCAACAAGATGGATGAACCTGGAGGATATTATGCTAAGTAAAATAAGCCAGACAAAGAAAGACAAATAGTGCATGCTCTCACTTATACATGGAATCTAAAAAAAGTCAAACTCATAAAAGCAGAGAGCAGAATGGTGGTTGCCAAGGGCTGGGGGCTGGGGGTATTGGGAGATGTTGGTCAAAGGATACAAAGTTTCCATTATGCAGAATGAATAAGTTCTGGAGATCTAATGTTGGGCATGGTGACTACAGTTAATAACACTGTGTTGCATATTTGAAATTTGCTAAGAGAGTAGATCTTCCATGTTTTCAGCACCCACACACAAAAGGTGACGAGATGGGTGTTAATTAGCTTGATTATGGTAATCATTTTGCAATATATACGTGTATCAAAACATCATGTTACACACCTTAAATAGGTACAATTTTTGTCAATTATACCTCAATAAAGCTGGAAAAAAACCCATAAGTGTTGGTAAAGATGCAGACAGAGTGAAGCCCTCCTACGTTGCCGGCGGGAATGCAAAAGGTGCAAGCGCTTTGGAAAGCAGTTGCCCAGTTGCTCAATTAAACATAAAGTTACTATACGACCCAGCAATTCCACTTCTCCATATATATCCAAGAGAAATGAATATTTACGTTCATGTAAAAACTTGTATACAAGTGCTCATAGCAGCATTATTCATAATCAAAGAAGAAAGGCTAAAATCAGTGACAAACATCCATCTCAAGAAGTTGTAAAACAGGAAACTAAAGCCAAAGAAAGTAGAAGAAAAAAATGAAGAACAGAAATTAACGATGGGGCCGGCCCGGTGGCGCAGTGGTTAAGTG